CCCGCCGCCCCGGAGTCCGCCTGCCGCCGCGCTTGGTTTTTTGCAAGGGCTTGGCTACCGCTCCTGCTTCTTCCCGGGACCGCCGCCCCCCCTCCGCCACCGATGGCCAACTCGGGCTTGCAGCTGCTGGGCTTCGCGCTGGCCCTGCTGGGCTGGATCGCCACCCTGGTGGCCACCGTCATGCCCCAGTGGCAGATGTCCTCCTACGCCGGCGACAGCATCATCACCGCCCAGGCCATCTACCGGGGCCTCTGGATGGAGTGCGTCTGGCAGAGCACGGGCCAGATCCAGTGCAAGGTCTACGACTCGGTGCTCGCCCTCTCGTGTGAGTCGGGGGTCCCGGGAGAGGGCGGGATTTTTTAAAAAAAAGGGAGGGGGAGAAGAAGGTGGTGGCAAAATCTGGGCACAAGGGGACCAAACTGGAAAAGAGCCGGGTTTGGGGGGGATTGGACTACAACCCCCATGCTCCCCGGAGCGGTATTCACAGTGAAAGGGAGTAAGGGACAGCACTTGAAAAGGCTCCTTGGCAGGGGATTACAAATCCCAGCATCCCCTTGCCAAGGTGTGCGGGGGTATCGCCTTTTTTTGGATCACAAGACCCAGAATCCCCTCCTCTCTCACCTGCATGGCCCCTAGGAGTGGACAATGGGAATGGAGGACAGAGAAAAAAGGCAAAACTCCCCCCCGCCTCGGGCTGTGACACAAATCTGAGAGGGCTTGGAGGGCAGGCAGGGGAGAGGGGGGTGAGCCCAGTGGGTGCAGGGGAAAAGCCCCACCACCACCACCCCAAACCTTGAAAGGGGTCTTGAGGGCTGACTTTGGGGCAGGGGAGGGAGAGTGGCCAGCATCTGCCATCCTGGAAATGCCATTTTCCTTCTCAAAAAGGCGGTTTTCCCTGCCTGCTTGGTGTCCTTTTGCCCGCTGGGTTACTGATTAACTCTATATAATTCTCTTTTTTCCCCATCCCAGCCTTGACTCCTTTGGCGACAGGGGCCAGGGTGGGGGTGGGGAGAGAGAGAGGGTGAAATTTCCCCCATAAATACACCATTTCCTGCCCCTGTTGAGCCCTGTCTTTTGAAAGGAACCTGGATTTTCTCTCTCCTCCTTCCTGCCTCTTTTTTTTGTTGTTGTTACCTGTCGGGTCATCTAGGCCTGCGAAAGAAGCCATGTTTTCAGGAGGGGCCATCTTGCCTTTCCTTAAATGGTGACCCCACCGTTTATTTATTTTTCAAGTTCATTGCTCCCTTCTTAACGTGGGCAGGAACGCATTTGAAAGGATGCTGGGTTCAAAGAACCCACCGACGTTTCATGGGTTGGTTTGTTCAATCCAACGTATTTAAGAATCCCCTTTGAAAATGCATTTTTTTAGATTACAGTAAATGTCTTTCGATAATGCCACCTGGCCGCCACTGGACAGACGTAATTTCCAAGCATTAGGAACTGTGTCTTAATTACTTGTTCCTGAAAGGAGATGCTGGGAGGGGGGCATCCATGACTCACCTGCTCATCTAAAAGGCCTATTCAATAGATCTGTAATTTGTGATTAATTAGCAAGGCGGGGGAGGGGGTGCGTAGCAGGCTGGGGCTCTCCATACATGGTCAGAAGTCCTCTTGATGTTTCCTTCCATTCACATTCAAAATAGTCTTGGGAATTAGCAGTTCTGATTCCACTTAACATCCTTTCTCTCTATGTTGTGTCCTGTCTTTATTCTGGTGATGCATCCAGCAAACCAGCTAGGCTTTCTTGTCTCCAAAGAGCAAAACATGTTTTTGGTTGAAATGTTCACAAAACCCTTCGAAAAACAGGGAGAACCGAAGTCCAATAAGGAAAAATTCCACGGGGTTGTTTCTCTAAAAGCAGCTGGAGGTGCCTGCTGGCTCAAAAGATGTCTGGGGAGGATGGAGTTTGTAGTCCCAACTAG